TACCAGCATATAAGAGTGTATATACATCTGTGTGTGCGTGTGCATGTGTTCATTTCTGTCTGTGTATTGGTGTTTCTGTGCATTAGAGTGCCTGCACGTGCATTTGTGTGTTTTCAGTAGACTGGAGTTCAGTGAACTCCCCAAAGGGCAATTACAGTGCAGCAGATGCAGTTTCATACCACGAAGAGAATATTGAGCAATCTGAAATTGTTCTTATCACAGTTACTGGACCATTGCTTTAATTGCAGTGAGAGTTCAGTGAAGGGAGCGTGAGGGTGGGATGGAAACACAAGACCATGGGAAACAATTCACTGAACATTAACAGGAATACAGATGTATTCTCATGTGGCAATTCTTTTGCATGTTTGATAATTAACTCTCAATTCCACATTGTGACGTAATGTTATGTGCAGAGAACAACAACGACGACAACAAAAAACAGCCTCCCTGCTGAGCAACAGGAGACGTGCCCGCCATGTGGTGTTTTTGACCCTTTTAACCTGCAGCCAAAAGGAAAGACATCTTTATAGAGTGGATGATAGGGGTATTCAAGGACCAAATTAGCCTTTCCAATTACTCAGTTAAGTACACAACAGAGGCAGTGGCATGTAGAGTTGCATCCATTGTTTGGAACAGAAGCCTGGCACAGGCTGTGCTAAACACATTAGTAGGCAAGGTATGGTGGCCGGAATCTGGGGAGCAAATGTGATGAAATTGCCATTTTTCTGGAGAAATGAGGCACGTAAGAAATACGACTGCTGCCTATGATGAGTCAGTACGCATCAACAAGCAATGATGCACGTCAAGATGCCAGCGTGCAGCATAGGTACCAATATAAAAAGTAAGAACCAAATAAATAACCAGGCATTACGACAATGCACATCCTGAAGGAATTTATCATTATTTAAACCAACAGGTGCTGGTGTATCTTCTTACAAATAAAATACACAATGCCCATGTCTATTTTAGTTAGTTGCTTTCTTTTCCTGGGGCTTTAAAGATTGCACATTTACATTTAGTAAGACCATAATCTGTAATCTTTTCCAAGCTAAATGATATGGTTAAAAAATCAAACTCACTCTTGCAGTATGTCTGTTTTACTGTTTTCGGGTTATGTCAGTCACAGGTAAAAATCTATGATGTGCTATTTTAAAAGTCTTTCCCTCTCTAGTTTCACCTACTATTTTATGGCCTAACATATTCCAGAGATTTTTTTTGTCATTCCTCTCTCTTTTCTTCCCTTGAACCATTAATCCATCCTCCTTTAACTTGAAACACCTTGTAACTGATACTTTCAAAGTAGCCTCCAGTGCTAACTTTTTCTTCTCATCTCTCACGCTTTCATGCATTTATCAGTGTATCTGCGTGGGTGATGTTGCTCCATACATTTAATCATGTTCCTCTTCATATAACAGTTTTCGACAATCTATTCTTCTTTCAGTTTTTATTATCAAATAATGTCTTAGGCTTATATGCTTTATTTAACATAGTCTTTTTCAAACGCAAGAAGCACTTTCCTTTCTTTAATCCCATCCCTCCATCATCAATCACCATTGTCACTCCATAACTCAAGTCCATGAATGTCTATCTCATTTATATATACTGCTTCTTTCTCTTGTATCTACGAGAGTCTGCTATCCATTAACGTTTTTTTCCTTGCGTGATGCACTCCATTCATCTCTACTTCAAAACTGTTTCCCCATTTTCCTCCTTCTTTCAGAATCTCCATCACTCTAACTATCTGGGCTAGTCATCCCTTCATTCCTCAGGAGGATGGATGGTTTCCTCTAAAGATCAGTCTGATCACACCACCGCTTTCATTTCTGACTCAAAACACATTTCAAAATGTTACATGTGAAAACCATTCTCACCCAGCTCTGCTGTCTAACCACATTAAAAGGTAAATTCCTAAGCAATGCTAACCACTTCAATTAGTATTCAACCTCTGAGGCTATAATTAATGAAGTATATGTGGGGCCAATAAACAGTGTAACTTGTTTTGGCAACCTCATTAAACTCCACTTAATGATTTATGTCACGGCTTGATAGTTTCAAACCCAAATGTTTTCTACAACAGAGTGCTACTATAGTCAGTCATTAAACATGGGATTTAAAGTGTAATCAGCCATGATCAAACTAACTAATCGCAGCTAGTGACAAGCTGCCATAACCAACAGAAGTTGTTCTACATACGGTGTCTGCTTTTGACATGGCAACACCATTACATGTCCCTAAGAAAACTGTGCAGGTAATAGTATGCTGGGCTTCTTCACAGGTATTCAAGAAGGGTAGACATGTTAACAACGCAAGGACATTTAAAAGGTCCAGGTTACTCAGGGTAGAGTCTGACACTGGCACAGAGAGGTGGCCGGGACATACTTCAAAACTAACACGGGAAAAGGCAGAGGACACGCATGAAGTGTTGTTCATACTGCACTGGTTGTCTTCATAGCTCTGCATTGACATGGATATACATGTGTGTCTGCGTGTTAATGAATTAAAAAAATGTACGCCTCAGACCTTTACAGCTATGCAGATGTGGAAAGTATAATTTGGGCTTTAATCATGCTGTCAATGCTCTAAGTGGCTCTGTTCTTTCTCCGACTGGGGAAACAGCTGTCAATGAACACAACACCAGGTTATTTGAATCAACTGACTGATCTCCAATTAATGATATACTGAAATTACAAACTTGCATCTGCTAGTTGCTACTTATTTATTTTACAAACTGACCTATTGCAAGAATATTCTTGAATCAAGGTAACATAATATTGACCATTAAAGGAAATAATAATAATGTACATAATAATGTACAAACAAATTCCATACACAAAGATCAATGATCACTTTATGTTAGCTGTTAACTATCACCTTATAAAAGGGGCAGAGGTGCAACTCTAAGTCCAGAGGTGGTAGGATCAGAACAGCCCCTTATGAAAACCACACTAACTGCTACAAAACTTAAAAGCATGACCATGGAGACATTCATCAAAGACCAATGCAATAAATGGGAAACCCTGCAGTTTTCAGCTGTCATCAACTGTTTTTATGTAATTTTCAAATTACGTGTTCTTACCCAATCCAAATATTGACTTAAGGTTTCCCACCTTTCACGTTATGCACCACTTCACATATTGATTGATTAGTGGTGAGGGCGAGAAGGGAAACTAGGAGTGTGTGTCAGGTTTAATCATTGATTTATATTCCAAAGATCTAAGGCCTTATTATAACTTCCTTCATTCCAACTGCTGTGTGTGTGTGTGTGTGTGTGTGTGTGTGTGTGTGTGTGTGTGTGTGAGAGAGATGGGAGAGACATAGGGGGAAAGAAAGAGAGAGAGCTTGAATGTGCATGCGTGCAGACAACACGTGTCTTTACATGTAGGACTGTGTGACTAAAGTTTTGTACAACGAGGTAACTTTGGCAACATACAGTGTACATACATGTTTGTGAGCTATGTTTGAATTACTATATCCATTCCTGCCGAGCCATATTGTTCTAGTCAATTCATTATTTTTCTGTTGATTAATTACAAACAGTAAGCCCTGAGTTCATCGCTGTAAAGAGCCTGAAAGCAGCGTAATTAGGAGGAGAATTAAAATCAAGGATGTCTTGGGGGTTTACTCATCTCAGGTGCATTTACGTTATTAGTGCTGAGTTGAACTAGGTAAGAACAATGCCAAGTGGTGGCAAATAATCACACTGAGGTGCCTGGAAATAATTGGCTTTACTGATATTTTACTATATGTTGTTTTATACATAATATACTGAACAAATGACACAAAAAATATACAAAAGACAACACAAAGTAAACTTCTCTGCAATGGTTCAAACCAAAGAAAGTGAACTGCTGTGACAGTAGAAGAAAAGACATAGGAAAGATGGGAGAAGAGAGAGATAGAAAGGACAAAAAAAATGGAAATACTGACGCAGCGAGGTAATGACGGAGACACTTGTTGAAGGATATATACAGGGATGGAAAGAGTGAGAGAAAGACTGAAAAAGAAAGAACGGTATGTGTGTTAGTGTATGTGTGCGTTTCCATGAGAGGGACCGTAACCCAAGTTCTTGGAACAACACCTTTGCAGACCATTGACGTGCAAGATAATAAGGCTGCAATGTTAGACCTTGGTAGAGGGAGCTTTCATCCCGGGAATCCTATAGTGGACACATATGCTTTTACTATATGAAGCCCTGAGGGGACTGAACCCACAAGAAATAGTCAGATACAGTAACATACACCAAAGAAGCTGAGCGATTATGTGTGTCTGACCAGGGATCAAACTCAAACGGCTACAGGTTGCATTTCACTCTTACCAGAGTGCCATCTCTCTGGACAAATAATTTGTAGTCTTTTTTTCTTATGTTCTCTATGTTTGTCTTTGTGTTTAATTTGATTTGGGTAATCATGATCATACAGAAGGATAAAAGTAGGTTTCATTTCAATAGATGCCTAAATAAACGTGTGATAAGCTAAGATGATTGTTGTTTAAAGACAATCTCTACTGCTTCTAGAAAATTCCCTTTGAGAAATGAGGTGAAACTCAATCTGCAGTATGGAGAAAGGCCAGTCTTTTTCTTCAGAACACCGTTTCCAAAAGAGAAATAAGACGTGCTCACCAGAGGTTTTCAAATACCAAATAATGAATCATACTCTAACAGGTGTTTTTCAATGTTGACTTACAGCTCTTGGTAATGGAGTATCTGGACAAACACTCTTGACCATTTATAACTCCATTTACGTTTGGCTTACGGCTTGGGCCGGCCAGATTTTGTTCAGGACAAGGTATATTACTCATGAGTGAGGAGCTAATTCCCATCCACTAGATTCCTACTAACAATGTATGATTAATGTCCATGTGTTCAGTTATTTAGTGAAACTCAGTCCTATGATTTGGTGACTTAAACGTTTTCCAATCCAGATTCCGGTATCTTGACTGCTTGTAAATCATAATAAATAATAATAATGATAAGGGAATAAATACACAGCAGTGCTACTCACATGCTGCCACTGCTCTCGGATGAGTGGCCGGTATCGAAGGAAGTATTTCAGAGGGAAGTTGTCAATGTCAGGCCAGGTTGCAGGGCTGTGCCAGGATACCTCCAGTCTCCGAGCGTTGAAACGGATCGGGGTCGCAGTCACACGCTCCGGGGGGTCTGGTTTGACTGTGGGGTGGATAAGAGCAATTAGTTAAAGGGGTATCAAACCGATTTAACACATTAAGGTCAGTTTACTCATGATTCATAGGGCTCCCCATGATGTCTTCTGTGTCTCTGGAAGGAGAATTACCCTGATGCTGTCGTCACTCACGGGCGTATTCACATTACAGTGGAAAAAAAGGGTCTAAGCTGCATGTTTTGCATTGGTCGGGGTATTAACCACTCCTGAACTCTTGTTTAGTTCCGCTCCACCTTAGCTACAATGTTAGTGTTGCTAGCAGCAGAGAGCTACAGACTCAAACTGTGCTTTAACTGCATCTGAAGTTGATATGTATGCTGACATTTCGCCAAGCAAATATCTTTATTGTAATCAGTCCTGGAAATTGACAAACACAAGTAATAATTTTTTCGTCCGTCTTCCAGTACAAGAACTGGTCCCACAAAGCCCAGTGCAGCTTGGGTCAAAGGTAAACTAATTCTAACTTTTGCTGCACCCCCGTGCTACGCTCGGTGCACTGTGGACACCCGCCCAGAGCCGTCACAACACACCACATACACATTAATGGAGGAGCAGCGCCCAAAATCTGTTTTTCCACATAATGCGAATACGCCTTTAGGCTTGAGAATTCAAATATTTGACAGAAAACCTGGGTTATAAATTGGAGTTTTAACATGAGGAAAGGGTCAAATAAAGGAACAGGAAGGGAAGGTCTAATGAAAGATGCTATTGAGTTGCATGATCCAGAGTTTTTAAAGCTTGACTCATACTAGGGACAAAAAGTCAGCATACCCCATACTCCAATATACTGATTTTATCCATTCTTTTTTTTTTAAAATCTGTCTCAGTATTTGCTTAAGATCACCATGTATCTATTTTCTCTAATGGAAAATAAATAGCCAGAGATAGGGATGGTTATGAGTGAAATAAAGCTGTGAGGAAAGAAGCTGGAAGTGTTTGAGGGACCTGCGGCAGGGCATACGATGAAAAGTCGTCATTCCCTGATGAAAAGCCATGTATAAATGTTGTGTTTCTGAATACACGTCCACTGAGAAAGACACACAGACGGATAGATTGAGAGAATTAAATTCAATGCTTTTCAGAAGATATTGAATGACCCAGTCTTTGTTAGATCACTCTCACGAGGGAACACACTGGCCTGCCACTTTGGCTACATGAAACCCTTTCTCAACCAGATACACACAGCATTACAATAGGAAATGGATAGCTGCAATTACAACATGAATGTCTGATAACATGCACAGAGATACAGTACCAGGGGATGAAAGCAACTCGGTTAAACAGCATAACAAATAACATGTAGCAAGGCATGTAAACAGAGAGCACACAAACAGATGCAGACAGAAGCAACAGACAGTTTGCTAGTATGACCTTCATAGAATGTATTAAAAATATGAAAAGACGGAGATGGAGATGATCAGTGACAGATGAAAGCAGACAGACAGCTTTCTCCCTTGAGAAAGAGATGTTAATCTCATTGTGACCTTCTTCAAGTAAGTGTGTAAAAAAAGATGCAATAGGGAAGGGAAGAAAGAAAGAGAGAAAGAAAAGAAAAGCGCGTACAGGCAGAGTGAAGGCACAAGAGAGCAGAAATTCTCCACTTTGTCCAGCAGCACATAACAGAAAGAATCATGTACAAGCGCAGAACAAAACAGAGAGAAATCTGTATGGGTGGGGTGTCCCAGAGGCTTTTAAAGTATTCATCTGACTTGAAACATAGAGTATTAGCTTTGTGTTGCATAAGTAAAAAAAACATCCTTCTTTTGTCGGGGGGGGGGGCACCTGGCCTGACCGAGCACTGCTATTAATACTAGAGCTGAGAGACGAAAGGGATTTTCTATTAAATGAAAAGTTTAAAATCCGTTGAGACAATAAGAGTCTGGGACCAAACCGATTCCAAGGAAATAATTAGAAAAATGCTAACATGCACAACTGATGAGGAACAGATTAAGAGCTCAAAGGGTGGCCATGAAACTTAATGTAATGGGGTAGACATAAAGTATCTTTGTCGAGACAGAATTGCCATCTACTGATGAATAAATGATAGTAAGTAAAGTAGGGTAGTGCAGTGAGGTGACATTAATACAAGAGAAACACCATGTCAAACATATAGAGTCTGAATTAGTAAATAGAAGAGAGCTGTAACTCTTACTGTGGGGGCAAATGTTAAAAGATGTAGCATGATAGCATTGGTAAAAAGAAAAAGGAAGATCATATGGGTATAGTTTTATGACAGCCCATTGTTGTGCCTGTCCATGCTTAGCCTTAAAACGTCTGTCATGCCTCCCTTGGCTCTGTTCATTCAAATTTGCATCCACATTACTGTTCCTCTTTCATCCTTTCAGTTTCGTGTTGCAACAGTCACTGCAGCCCATTCTCTCTCTTTGCTGGTGATGCAAGTGAACAGGTATACTGTAACATAAAAGTCTAATCTTTCAAACAGCTACTTGCGAGACCATTATACGCACTGTCTGCTGAAAATGGAACGAGAGAGTGGGAGGCAGAGTGGTTAATCTTTCTTACTAAAAAAGAAAAAAGAATTGTTTAAAGGTTGTCCTGGTGGTTGGACTATGCGGCAATCAACCAGTGAAATAAAAGAGATCTGCAAAAGCTAAATCTGCAAGTAGAACCTGATGTACCAATCTATGCCTGAGAACATTGCTTGAACATCTGATTGCAATGTTTCTAAAACCATTATTATACGTCAGTCCTTTCACTTAATGCATTTAGGTGTGACTGCATGAAAAAAACATCTACAAGTGTAGCTCCACACTTCTCAGTTCTATCTCTTTTCAAATAAATGGGCTTTTCAAAAAGAAACACAAAAAAAGTGGAATCTATTTATCGTTTTACAGTAGTACAGGTTCTGGATGACAGCATCTAACAGAACACTTGAACAAATGGGAGAAAAGGAGAGAAGTAGAGTGCTTCGATCTGTGGGAAATTCTTACAAAAGTAACTTAAAAAAACAGAAAATGGAGCAAGAAAGGTAGAAAGATGCCTGCTCTTTTAAAACAATTGCGTAAGTACAGCATGAAAGTGCAACACAAAAGCTCCTCCGTGTGAAATGCCTACATCATTTTAAGAGCCAAAATCTCTGAGTGTACACGTCAAATACTTTGATGTTAGAGGAGTAATAACAGCTGGTTAGTAGTGGTCAAAGCTTAAGCAACCAGACTAATGCCTCAGTGGAGGAAGCAGAGTACCTGCAACTAAACTCTAAAGTGTGTAAAAAGTGCCATTCTATGTGCACAACAATTTCGTGTGCGTACAGTAATGGTATAGATATGTTTAGAACATTTTACTGATTAATATGTAAAAGCAAAGCAGTGGTAGAGCATAAAAATTAAATGACCGAATTGGAGTCCTCATCCACTTATTAAACCAATATTATCCAAAATCTGTCCTACATTCACATGCCTGCTGTCTTATTTATATGAGGCTACAACAGGCAAAGAGAATAAATTGGAATATTGAAAAGCACATCAAAACATTCTGTGTCAGGTTTGTTCTCTTTCAAAATAAATGATAGATTACAGTCATACTACAACTCAGACTACAGGGAATCTACCCTTCATCTCCCCATCTCCACGATGGGGAGACAACAATCTGATCTCGAACTTGTGGTGTTTATTAATTTGAAGCCGATCCGCAGCGCTTGGGACTATACCTGTGCCTTGGGGATGTTTAGTTGAAAACTGCAACTTTCAAACTGCTCTTAAGAAATCTGTTACTGTCCTGAGACTGTTGCACTTGTTAAGCTTTGTGCATGGTAGTAATTAGTGGATCTCACAGTAAATACGCCTCTAAACCTCTGCCAGCTCTACTTTTTTATAGCCAATTCTGATCTCTGACCTCCCTTGTGTAGAGAGCTGAGTCTGCTGGAATAAGCAAAATATCACAACAACCTGACTTTTTTGCTAAATAAATAGTCTTGAATAACAAAGCAGCTTGTCAGTGCAGTCTGGGCTACTCATTTGGTAATCTTGGAGGAAAATAAAAATGAGATAGCTACTGTAAATAGCACCAGGGTGTTATTATTAAGTATTCTGAACTGGTTTTCTTTCATTGACTGAAATCTACTTTTACTGGCTACTCCTGGGACCTGTTTTTTCTTCAGTTTTCTTCAAACTACCACAAAGTAATGGCAAATTAAACCTGAAAATAATACATTTTTTAATTATGAATTGAAAAGATGACATAAGTGACAGATACCGCAGCTGCACCTTTACCTTCACCCTCTGGGATTAGGTTACAGTATATTCATTTTAATCACAACGAATGAGCAATGCACTACTTAATGACAGCAGGTGTTCAAGTGGGCTAATTTCAGAGTTGACAAAAAAAAATCTTTTTAAGTGAAAATACTTTAACTGAAGAAGCCTTTACGGTTAGACAAGATCAGTTATCGTTTGATCATCTTGGCACTAGAAAGCTTTAAGTTATCATTTGATGAGTCTGGAGCTTCCTTGAGGGTTCTCTTTGTAACTGTACCCACAGCATGCACATGTGAGGGCGCACACGCACACACACACACACACACACACACACACACAAACACACTCTCACACTCTTTCTCATCTCATCTAATTTCATCCCAGCTTTGGTCGGATGAACAAGGACAGTTGAGAATCGTCTTACTCCCACTCAGAATTCTGAAGTGCACCAGGAAGCATGAAATTGTTTTATTTATTTACGATCTGCCTCGTTGTCCCTGATAATGAATGTGACTTACAACTTAGAATGGCATGAGAAAGACTTTTAACAATGGAGGAATGAGGAGGGGATAAGGGGAGGAGAGACAGGAGGGTTGAGAGAAGGCAAACAATATGAATCAGTTAAAAAAAAGAAAGAAGAGGAACACAGAAAGGGAGAGGACAAGACCACATCCTCGCTAATTTTGATAAATTTGACAACAAAGTTTGGCCTTTCAACTAGCATTTTCTATAATGAAACACAGATCTTTTCAAAGGCGCTCTTAAGAGACATTTGCAAAATGCTGGCCTTGTGTTCAAGTGTGATGAAAAAGAAAATAAAACAAAAAGCAAGCGGTCATATGGAGAATTTGAGGTAAAAGAGAGACGAATTTGCCTTTTAAAACCAACCAGAGTATGTAAAGTCAAAGCAAATGCAAACTCTGAGAGAAAAATCTGAAAAGAATAGTGTGGACGGAAGACATTTGTCACATAAATGGCATTTTTATGGCAATTTATCTGACAAGATTTGAGAGCAAGGATCACGATAGCAAAGAACCAGTGTCTAAGAGAGGAAAAAGAAGTACCAAGTCACAAGAAGGGCATGCAGGAATGAAAGAGAAAGCAGGGGGGAAAGAAAGGAACAGTGGGGTATTTTGCTATCACCAATACTTGAAGGATATTTCCTGAGCCAAGGCGCTAATCCGGCTAGCATTAGCATTTTCATGAGTCCTGTGTCCGGGGCTTGGCAGAGCATGTCACTGCCTCATTTGGTTACTTATGTACACACACTCTCTCTCACACACACACACACACACACACACACTCACTCTCTCGCTCTCTTTTTCAATACCTCACCCTCTCAACCGACACACTCCACACAGTCGCTCACAACCTTGTTGGTGTCTGTGTGTGTTTATTCGTCATGCACACCCATATCGGGCTCTAAGCAATACAACAGAGCTGAGGACTGCTGGCAGCACTTCCCTTATCTATCAAAGTGCTCCTCATTCCTTCTTTAAAATGAATTTCTCCTCTTCACTGCTTTCCAGTCTGAGTCGCTTATGAATTCTAAGAGTCTTGCTGTTATTATGTGGCCTTCTGCAGCCTAAGTGCACAAAAACTTTACAGTCCAAACTGCATTTTTTTTAAACTACTTACCAGATGACCATGAAGGTTGTGATTTAAAGAAATAACCAATGAACGGCAAATTTTTTATATTGAATGTGATCAAAATATGCTTATATGGCAGCTGGTATTTGGGTTATGTGACACTGTGAGAAACCAGAGCATTGATTTGTGACTGCCATATCCCATCCAAGCCTCAATTAAATACTGTTTGCTGCAGAAAAGGTTCAGAGGTAGCGTGCTTATTATCCAGTGCCTTTGGTAATGACAGGGGTGCATGCACAGTCAGTGGGTTTATCGCTAATGGACTATGCTTTTGGTTGAAGAAAAAAAAAAAAAAAAACTGCGCACTCTCCTTTCAGCAGGGTGACATTTATTTGGCCACTGAAATTTATATTTTCTTTGTCTTTCTGGCACCAAGCATAAATGTGTGTGCAACAGATCCCCGAAAGGGAAACCAGAAGTGAATGAAGTCAGTCATCTGTGGTCAAACAAATGCATTAACATTGCTCAAGGGATGGCATCCTCAAAGAGATGCCTTGACATTCTGCATTTTCAGTCCTTTTTCTTTGCCAAATATTTTTCATTCTGTGTGGGGAAAGGATCTTAGAGTTGTCCCTGAACTTGTTTTTTTTTAAACCAAGCATTGTTTGTGAACTTTAATGAAGAGTGTTCACATTCTGCAGCTTGAATGAGTTTGGAGAAAATATTAAAAGTTTTAAAATGTCAGCGTGTTCCTTTTGAACCCTTTAATCTAAATTAAACGATTTAATATTGAGCAAAACCTCATCAGAAAACCATGTAGTACATGCAGCCCCAACAGTGATAAGGGGGAAATTAATATTACAATACAACACTGGTCACCTTACAACTGCATGCAGACACAATGGAAAAGAGGTGATGCAGAACAGAAAACAACACAACATAATAAAACATGACACAGCTCCTATCTTACCTATACTGGACTCTTCAAAGGAAATGGTGGTAGAGGCTTTCCCCAAGGCATTGACTGCTGTCACGTTTACTTTGTAGGGGAAGCTGGAGAAGACCTCAGGAAAACGTACACGACAGCGATTCTTGTGGTCCGGATCTTTCTGCACCTCCAGTGAACGCTGGTTATGTCTGGAGAGGAGAGGACATTGACAAGGTAGGAGGAGATTGAGCAAGATAGGTAGAAACAAGGACAGATGTGAGAAAGGTACGCACTTATAAGCTTGTGTGTTTTCTGCTTGAAAGAAGCTCACTGGTGTGGAAACGTAGCAAGAGAGAGTAGGAAAGTAGTTAAGCATTATGCCCACATTTTGTAACAGTTCTGGGTGTTATATATCAAAGCTGGGACATCATTTTAATTCCAACACTAAAAAAACTGCTGACTACACCTCCTGCTACACAGATCAGGACAGGCATAGATAGCCAGACTTGTTTTACTATCTTACATTACTTTTTCTACATTTTTTAGTTTAAATGGGAATTTACAACTTCATTTAACATTTGTTTATAGGCTAATAGCACTTAAATCTTGCACTTTACTTATTGTAGATAAAAGTCACACGTCAGGAACTACCAGTTGAGCTCCAAACTACAATTATAATCATCTCCTTAGAAAGTTATTGATGTTTTTGGAGGAAAACTGTTGAAGAATAATGAACAGATGGCACTGTTCTGAATGCTGCTCTGCTAATTGCACAAAAACTAACTGACCTGGACACCACTTCATGTCGTCTTCATCTACACTTCTCTCTGTCCCACTGCTCATTACTATTCAAACATAATACATATTGGTGTTACAGCATTAATAGAGGCTGTGCCATCCTGCTGTGGGATTCTGTGATCTGGTAATATCAAAGAGAACATGACAGAGACAGACTCGCTGGGTTTCCATAAACACATTTTGAGTATTTAAGGTCGACCTACTGTTAAAACATGACTGGGCGCCCAAGGACTAGTAGAGAGAGGTGTTTAAGTATAGAGGAAAAGCAAAATTCTATTATTACTCTTCTAAACCTTATAACTATAACTTTTTCAAAACAATCTTTTTACCAGTCTCTAAAACATTTTGTGGTTTTAAAATTACCAATTACTCTGAAGAATAGAGAATAGACAAATGTGGAAAATGTGAAATCTGTTGTTTAACTTTCCCCTGTGCGTGCAGACATGCTTGATTTGACACTGTATTGAATAAGGAATGCCAAACAGGGGAGGAGCCAGATGATACTGGACACCTCATGAAAAACTGGAAACATTCTCCTTTACTTTGCACAGTTTTTCTTTCTTAGTGTCAAACAAAATGTGTACCTATTCTGTGCCCATTCTTACTTGTTAAAGAGTTTGTCCTAAATCAGGAGTTCTCAAACTCTGACACCATCACTATCACTGGATTACTTTGATACTGGAAAAAACATATTTTTTGTGACAGACATCAGACATAATGATATCCTCTGAAAGTGAATCTTAATGTATCATGTCTGTGTTCAGGTTTGAAGGAATGAGATTTCTGATGCAAATTGTCATAATTGGGTGCTCAGGGTTTTAAAGTACTTTAAAATCCCTCCCCACCACTTTCAACTCCACCGCACCCCCCTGGAGATGTGGGCTTTGCAGTTTGAAAACCAAACTGCTCTAAACCACAGCTGTCCTTGGCAGATAACCAGAAAATGTCAACTTTTAATGTTCTCCATAAAAATATCAGAAATGCACTTTAAGGGATAACTAGTTTTATTGTTAAAGTTTTGGCCATCCAACTATAGGATTTTCATGTCAGATTTTGTTATCACATTGTCGCCATGTTCCTAGCTCTCACCATGTTTCTACAGTAGCCTAGAAGGGACAAACCAAACACTGGCTCTTGATAAGGCTGTTAATTTTTCCGTGCATTGCATGGCCACCGTGGTTTCTCCTTCGCAGGGAGGGGGGGCGATGGAGTTGCTATCTGCAAATGCCACCTAAGGCGGCACACTGGACTTTTAAAGTACGCTAGCTCTGCATGAAAGAAGTTACACTTAGACCTGCACACAGAGCAAATGTACTTACTGTACGTCCACTTCGAAGGTGGTGGGGATGTACGTTGGGTGCAGCTGGTGCCAGCTGCAGTAGAAGCCCTTAGGGTAGGTGTTGGATCGGCAGGTGACTGTGGGCTCCCGCGGTGGAACTACAGAGAAAATAAAAACAAGAAAGAGGGCAAACGGGTTAGATAATATGTAGAGTATATTATTAACAACGATGCAGAGACATACCACAGAGAGAGCGAGAGAGAGCGAGAGAGAGCGAGAGAGAGAGAGAGAGAGATCAACATACCAGAGTAATACAGATCACATTAATCAAATGCAAAGCTGTGCCTAATTACACATTTCCTTATTGAATAATTCATTCTAGATCAAATATGCCATTAAAAACGTCGCCCCCACTCACTTTAAATTAAGTTGTGTCTCTGGTTATGTTTTCTTGGATATGCTTTCAATTTGGTAAATTTTTTTTTTTTTTTTTAAATAATACAAAAATTAGATTCAGAGACAGGGAGTAATTAAAATTGCTTATATACAGGCAGACTGAAACAACTTCTTTTAGGTTTTACAGCATCACTTATAGTTTCTATATACCTAGAGCTCAGGCAAACCTCTAGTGTGTGCAAATCTGATATCTTGAGTCAATCTGTTTTGAGAGACGATCTTGTTACCTAAATGTCAGGTCAGGTTCAACACCAGATTCATTCAATGTCCCAGACCAGTCCAGTCAGTCACTCTGCATGAGTATATGTCTGCTTCGTCATTTTTTCATTTCGTGATTGCAGCAGTTTTTTCTTGTGTTATATGTTATGACTCAGGAAACGTTTTGAAATGGTCATAAAACAAATAATTTTTTCCCCCTTCGCTGTGTGAATGTCAGTGAAGTGAACACCGAGTTTTGGAATATCTGTGGCCAGGACGAGCAATCCGTGTAATAATTCAATCTAATTTAAATGATTGAGACTACAAAAACGAATAGAGCAGGAGGTGATGGAGAGCAGATCTGGAGAAATTGGAGGGACAGAGGTAGAAAATAAGTAAAGAAGCTGGGAGGGAGAGATGGAAGATGGTGTGTGGAGAAAGGAAGGATATAGAGCAAAAGAAGAATAAAAGAGGTTGGCCAGAAAAAGTGATGTTACGCCAACTCTGGCCTCCTCCAAGATTAGGGTCTTTTCTTCACAGCTAGTCAACCATGCACTCGTCTACCACTCCCTCTTTCTCCCTACAGCTTTTTACCCTTTTACACTTGTTATCTTTGCAATATGTAATATACACTAAGTGTACAGTGTGGCATCACAAAAACTAATCCCTATTTGTTATTTACTTATAATTTACTCTTCTGATGTGTTTTCTGTTCCAAAATTCACCTTCCTCTCTCAGCTTTTTCATTTCACAAATGGTGCTTTATTGCTGCAGTTTATCGCTTTAACAATATATGGGTCTGGCATTGGATTTTCATGATTAAATACTGGATATCTGCCAATCAGTAATATATACTCCTGATGTGATAGGTTGACTGATAACAGCTACATTCAGACAATTAAATACTTCATTTATAGTGCTGAATAGGTGGGATGGGTCAACCTGTCTTAAAGAGCCACTAACCCATTCAGCCTGGACATGGGAAAAAGTGGATGAGCTGCTCTGTTGAGCAGGATTTCTCTCCCCTATGGGAAAAATGATATAGCTCCCAAAGGTTTTGCAGAACAGGGCTTCTAGGGTGTGGCCAGAAAAAAAGGTAATAATTACACAGAACAAGCAGTATGGAGAGTAACTGAATATTTCAAATAACCTTTTCAGCTAATTTCAGTAGTTTAAAGAATGTTAACTGTGGAGATTTCTAGATATATGATGTTTGCGAGAGCTAAGATAGGGTGATAAAGTAGTGTTTGAAATTGTCCTTTCAACAATGGCCTGAATGTTGATCTGGATCGATGTTGAAAATTGGGCAAAAAAGGTACACACTGTGTGATTAGTATTTTATTTAACCTTTACTTCAAGCATCTACTTGGAGTGCATTCTGACTGAAATCTATTAGCAGCTAATAACCCTTGATTTATATATAAAAAACAAAAGTACATTCATTAATGAGATATATATTACTAAGGCTAATAAGATGAGTATCCATGGTTTCACCATCATTTAGTTTAGGATATAAATAAGCTAATGAGTTAACCATTTATGTTGCATAATGCGTCAGTAATGTACCTATCATTTTTCACTGTCTAATAAAGGCTAGATCACCAGGAGCAGCAAAGACAGCTGGTTGCACTGTTGACCAAAGAAGTCCCGGTAGCCAATCAGAAACAAGTATTTTCTCCGGCAAATAGCAGCAAAAAGCAAAGTGTCTCAATATAGGATATAATGAACAGTGGAGGAAAACAACATGACTGGAAAGGTAAATGGTAATGGTAAATGTTCCTGTACTTGTATAGCGCCTTTTCGTCTTCCGACCGCTCAAAGTGCTTTTACACTACGTGCCACATTCACCCTTTCACACACATTCACTCAGTGATGGCAAAGCCCATCGAACAGAAACTAACATTCATACACACTCACACACTTATGCACGGCATCGGGAGCAATTCGGGGTTCAGTATCTTGCTCAAGGATACTTCGACATGTGGCACCAGGAGCTGGGGATCGAACCCACAACCTTCCGATTAAGGAATGACCCGCTCTGCCTCTGAGCCACAGCCGCCCCAGGCAAAGGCAATCCCTCAGAAGTTTTGACCATTCAAAAAGCCGAAGTAACAATTCACCGCTACATCATATTTATACTATACTATTTTTTTTTTTCTGTAGCTCCAGAAAAAACAAAAAAACAATTCCTGTAGTGGTACGTCCACTATATCTCTACTATTTGTCTCATCACGGATGATTATTGGGGTGATTAAGTTGCAGCCAGTTTTAGAGACATTATTCTGTAATTCTGTGTAGTTTCAGCACAGTGTGGAGTGGTTCCTTCTTTTCTACCTCCTGCATGCTGAAATTTCCCTTTTTAGATCAATAATCTTTTATTTTTTTTTTTGTATTTGTGATGACTCAGTGGAGATTAATTCACAATAAAAACATTTCCACATACTGTAGCAGCATCCCATCTAATTATTTAGTGATTTGTAATGATATCAAGACATCTGTGTAACAGTCTTTGTGAATGGCTCACTCACACACATCCGCAAGCAAGAGGTAGGCTTGATTGGCTGCTATGGGGTCATTTCACTGTCACACACAATCAGCTGTGTTTAAGCGGTTGCCACAGCAACTAATTAGCCTGTCAATAACGTCAACGATGAGGTGCCAGGGAGGACATCCAATCGCACTCAATTAATCACAGAGACTAATTGGGGCCATATCAATCAATTGGCTCCTCATCTGAGAGCTTCAGTCAAAGTCACGAAACACACAATGCCAAACACAAACATACCCCCCCCCCCACACACACACACACACACACACAGGCATTAACTATCAGCACACACACACAATTGGTATTCCTATAGGCTTTGTAGAGGTAGCCACAATTAATCAAACTGGCTTATTAAGAACTTGGAGAAGCTACAAGTTCAACAATAAACTAAAAAAATCATGGTTTTACAGAGAAGAAAGCAGCAGAGGAAAGGTTACAAGACAAAAAAAATAAAAAGAGAGTGGACTGATGAAGGAGTGCAGACGTGGAGAGGAAGAGCACAAGTGTGTGTTCACGCCAGCCACGTTTGGAGTGGTTTATTTGAACTCTGGAGTGTTTACCCCTTTAATTTAGTTCATTTTGCCAGGCGTGAGTGGTGTCAATCAAACCGCCGCTGAGACACCTGAAAGGGCAGTTTGTACTGTTGGGCTCCTCCAAGGGGACTGAGGTGTGCTTTGTTTGGAGGGGAGAACGTGATCTGAACCATCAATACCGAATGACCCCGTAGCACAAGGGTTTGTGTGTACAAGGGGACAGATGTCGACACCTAAATGCCAGCTGCTCATCACGGTTTAAAAGCCAGGCATTACAGAAAGAAGCCAGGACGAATCAAACTGGGCCGATGCTGATACAAGTTGCTAAAACTTTGACACATAAATGTTACTCGTAAGTTCATTTTCTCATTTGGTCAGTTTTAACCATGACATGTGGCTTTGCTTTCTTTTCCTTTCTGATTTCCCTAGTGCAGTTGCATGGTTTTCAATACTTGGTTTGAACCTGAATGAATTTACCAAAACACAACAAACTAAACATTTTGACAAAGGTTTACAGGAAACAAATTTGTGAGGTATGAAAGAGGAAGACAGGGAAGTGAAAATGTTTTGAGTAAGGGATATACATGGAAAATAGAGATGATATGAGACATTCGATTTTACGGCTGTGCCCTTGAAAATATTTCGGACACACAACACGTACGCACAAAAAAGCTGCCGCTCAGTTGCTTCAATAACAATAAAACATCAAAAGCTGTCTATGCATCTAATGAAATTGAGGTTCAAACCGGAGGGATAAGACAGAACAAGAGAAAATGTACCTGTAGAAAAACCCCCACAAAAACAGAACAAAGACGGTATGAATAATAAAGCAAATAAAACAAAATTAAAATGACATTGTGAATGTTTTTTTTTTTTTGGTGAAACACCCCATGAGATACGACCTGAGTCAGTGGCTGACAGGACACCGCTCATGAATAAATGTTATTTGAATTAGTGCGCTTTCATCATCTGGTTTGCATTGCTAAACACTGAATGTGATTTTGAAGATGCTCTTTGTTAGCTGCATGAATCACACACCTGCATGCATGCACAAGTGCTTAGTAAGGTTACTTTTAAATGCTAATAGGTCACACACTCAACTTACTGTAGACTGTGGCTCATACATTACAATGAGATCAATTTTCTGTTGAAAAAATGTAAGCAGATTTGTAGTTTGAATCTCTGTAGATCATTACTAATCATTCAATTATTTATTAACTTATTAGCTGACCACAATGGCAGAATAAAGATAAAAAATCCATACAATCTCTCGTTTGGCACCAGCATTTTTTTTGTGCACATACTTCATGTTTTACAGAATATAATATACTTGAACAACAGAGGGTCTGAATTTTAAATCTATTAGATTACAGGATCAAAGTCATGATGCAGTTAGTCTTGGAACACTGCAATAAATATATTT